ACTTTGGCTGTTTCTGGAATTGGATTGACATGCTCTCCATCGCGCTGCAAGTGACTGCGGTTATTATCTGGTAAGAAACCAGCCAAGCTGTGTCGGTGGTAGCCTTTGCCATACAATGCATGCGGTGGTCATCGTCTCTCATCGTGTCATCTTGCACAAGGCTTATGGCTCCTCCGTCTTCTCTGCTCATCCTCCGCCCACCCCACGTGCCCGCCTTCCTCACTATTCTCCACATGTGCGCGTGTGAATGGGTGTGCTGTATCCAGGGTGGTGCTGTGGCAGTACGTGGATGCGTTTGACATGCAGCCACGGTACGACATCTACTACTCGCTGCTCGAGATGCCACGCTATTGGGCCGTGCCGAACCCGCCCACGGGCTTCCTCAGCGCCACTCAGGCCTTCGCTGATCTGCGCAACATCATCAACCTCCGCGCCGTCTACTTCGCCCTCCAGGGCATCAAGTGAGCTGGCTATGCTAATTTCAACTCTACTTTGAATAGTATTGAACAACATTGTGCCCGGTTTTGTTCTTGAACCCGCGAAATGGCTTGTCAAACTGAGCCAATTTGTTTCGGGCCGATTTGATTCCTGTCGAACAGGTTCAGTTTGATTGGCAGACATCCTAAAAAACTCAACATCCGTTCCTTCCCATCCCCCATCCCCCCCAGTGTTTTCTTTATGATGATTCGCCTGCTCAAGGTCATGGACTTCCAGCCGTACCTCGGGGTCATCACGCGCTCCCTCGCCCTCGCCACGCCCTCGCTGCTGCACTTCTTCCTGCTCTCCTTTACCGTTTTCTTCTGCTTCAGCATGTATGGCTACCTCGTCTTCGGAGGCGCACTCGAGCTGGTATGTGTGCAGGTCATGTGCTTATTTAGTGCAAGTCATGTGCTTATTTAGTGCAGGTATGTCAAGTCCAAGTGAACACCAGGTGCTGTGAGACAATACAGCCATATGCGGAATCCAGTTACAATCGCCTTGCTCTTTTCAGATAACAAAACGAAAACAAAATCAGACAAAAATCACCTGGCCCATGTACTCGTGCAGTCCACCACGCTACCTTTTTTTTTTTTTTTTTTTTTTTTTTTTTGTCCAGATCCACCATAACCCCGCTCCCGTTTCCCAACTCCTCGTGTCTTCTCTTCTCTATCCATTGTCCCATAAACACCCCCTTAATGCCTCCGCAACCCTCCCTGTGCAGTTCTCCACGGTATCGGAGTCCATGTTCTCCCTCTTCCTGCTGCTCATCAACGACAACGGGTCGGCCTACTTCTTGCAGCGCCTCGAGTCGTGGAACCTCATAGCAGCGATGCTTTTCTTTCTCATGTTCATCGTCTTCATGGTCTTCATCCTCCTCAACTTCCTCATCGCCATCATCGTCGATGCCTTCATGGATGTCAAAGACAGCGACGCCGTCGCCACCTCCATAGCCGCTGATCTCGCTCACATCATCAAGTACAAGTGGAACTGCTGGCGCGGCCGCTACCTGCCGTACCATGTCATTCTCGATCGTCTTGTGGACTTAGGCGCCAAGGACACCCGCATAAAAGACGTGAGTGCGAAGAAAGGTGTTAGATGGAGGGTTCTGTGGGTGTCGTGTCGGATGGGATGAGTGGAGTGAAGCTGTTTGGTTGTTTGCCTTGTGGGTGTGGAGCTGCTGTGTTTGAATCAACCATGCAGGCATGAGGCGATTGTTTCCTTCCCACCAAGGTTAAGGTGGCGCTTTGGTCATACTGCAACGCCCACCGTTGACACCATCTTCTAACCACCATTTCTCACTCACGAAATTCCCCTCACGCCCTTTTGTTTCAGGAGAATTCACGGATGCGCCGCTTCAAGTCGATCCAACGGCGGGTAGCCTCTATGCTTTCCGGCAAGCGAGGCAGCACCGACAAGCCGACGCCCTTCTCCCGGTCAGGCAACGACCCCGCCTTCCCGTCCGCCACCAGCGAGTCTCGGGTGCGGCGGCAGCATGTGCTGACAGTGAGGGAGAAGCGCATCGATGTCATCTCGCTCGCCATGATCCTGCAGCGCCGCAAGAACAGAGCGGTGCGTCCTTGCTGGCATGGTGCTGGCATGCTCGTTCCCATGCATTTCCATGGTTGTGTGGGATGCTTTCTTGTCATGCTTGTGTCGGCTGATGCTTGTGTAGTGCCATGACAAGTGCTCATTCTTTCTGTGTTGGCCGATTCACGGTTCGCCAATGTTTCTCCCTGCATCCCTCGGCCTCTCTTCTTAGCCTGAAACTTAACTATACTCAGCCTTCCCATCCACCATTCTCTCTCTGCTTCCATTCCCACCCTCCAACTTCTCCTCCCGTCAACCTTCCCTTGCTGTTCTCCAGGCAAAGAAAGCCTGCCAATCTGCTGCTGCCATGTCATCGAGTACGCCTCGTTTCTCCCCGTCCCGGTGTGAGAGTGGCACGCTGTGGGGCGCTGCCCCCTGGACCGCGGACGTGGAGCAGCTGGAGCAGCTGTCGCAGGCGGTGGTGCTGCAGTGCGGCGAGGTGGTGAAGCAGGCCGCCCTGCCCGTCAAGAAGCCCGTTCAGAAACTCACCCTGGCTCACGTGCAGGAGAAGGTGGCCCAAGTGCAGGAGGAGGTGAAGCGCGGCCACGAGTCAGCGGATGAGATGAGGGCCATGATAGCAGACCTGCAGAGCGACATGCGCGCCATGATGGCGCTGCTCGACCGCGCCCTCCCCTCTTTACGCGCTCAGGCTCCGCTCCCCACTCCCCCCTCGGGACCACCCCTGCCAGGGCCGCGGCCGCCGGTGCAGCCATGCCTGAAAGTGCCACAAGTGGAAGAGGAGGGTAAGGGGCCAGGTGGGGAGTCGGGTGGGATGGGCGTGGGGGAAGGAGCAGCGGTGGATGCGGGTGTGCGAAGCGGTTCTGGCCGGTCGAGTGTGAGAGTGGGCTGCTTCCCATCGCCATCGTCGAGACGAGCTTCGCGGCGGGTTGTGTTTCAAGATGAGGTGGAGGAGGGCGGTGAGGGTGTTGCGAGCGAGGAGTCATGGCAACAGCCGTTGATCGGAGACCAAAGAGACCAAGTTTCCGAAACACCGAGAGGAACTGAAAAGATTGACTGTTTCCCCTGTTACACCGTAAGGTCCACCCTCAACCTTCCTAGCTGAAAATTGGTGGGGATGCAGTGCTTCACATCAGGGTGGCATGTTGATCCGAACTGTGATGAAACTGCATCCAGTAAGTAAAGCAAAGGAGTGCTTGTGGAGGGAGGGTGGTGGTGGTCCCAAGCAGCGGGACCTTTGTTGCTGTGCCACCAGCGGGGCTTACCGGCATGATGGACAGACAGTGAACTGTCTGACATCCCGTCCCGGGTATAAGATGATGCCAGAAGTTTGGATTCCCCTACTGCTTGCTGAGAAACACTTCACTTCCATTGGGGGAACTGCATTTGTTGGAAGCTGTACACTAAGCAATTACCTTGTACGGTCCAAGTTCTGCTTCCATGCTTTCTTTCAAAGGGGAATTGTTGAACACCCTAAACCCTCTACATTCTATGAAAGTGGCGGCCGACGCACCAATCATGCCCGGAATTCCCCCTTAGTATCTAAACTCCTCTGCTATCTCGGCACATTGGTCGAGAGATAGGTGAGAGACCCACAGTGGCTCGAGATAGTTGACTATGAAAGCCAACATCCCTTGGACAATACGATATGGTATGCATGTTGGTGCACAACACCAAATTGCAAGGCGACTTGCCGACAAGTCGCTCCAGTGCCAAGGTATACAAGGGTCATTGCCACACATGTCTCGATCGGCACCACGCGTCGCCTGTCGCCGTTCCTCGTGATCCATGCGTCAACTAGATATTGAAAGACGCTTCGGTTCACTCTAAACGTCTCAATGAACGAGTGGTGCAGCATCGAGCTGAGGAGGAAGTCCCATCGGGCTCTCTGGTTCTCACGGTCTTGATGCATAGCATTGCGGTCTTCACCTTCTTATACCGGTAGTAGTAAAACGTCGGCTCAGTCTAACGCAGGCCGAACTACAATTTCCTGGTACCCTCTGTACAACAGATGCAGTACAGAGAGTACGGTAGAAGTCGTCTAGACATGTCGCCTCTGGTAGCACATTGTTCGTGCAGGACTGATATGTCTCCGTGTCTGCGTGGTGCAATGTCGTGGGTGGATTGGTGTGTTGGAGGCTGTCAATGTCTGTAACCGAGTCGCAGAGGGGTTGGCGGAAATTTGTGAGTGGTGGTGACCAGGGTAACGTCGGAACAGAGCCTCTGACGAGGCTACAGTACTTCGTCATTATGGGAAGGTGAGAAAAGTGCCGCTTTTGTATTCGGACGGTGTGAAGTTTCAAACATTCAAAACGGACTGTCAAGTACTCGATCTTAGAACAATCAAGATGGTGCCACGGACTGTCAAGTACTGTCAAGTACTCGATATTAAATGTGGACCGTCCGAAAAAACCCTAAAAATCAAGATGGTGCCACGCCCTAAAACCGTTGATCGTGTTTTCGCAGTGGGGCGAATTATGGTGGAGCGAGTAACTCAAGGTTGGCCTTTCTCTTCTCTCTGTCACACGTTGTGAAATAGAAGCACGGTCATGTGTCCTACCCAGCTGTACACCTCCCACTTGTCACTACATACACATCCCACACTTGTCTGATTATTGAAAAGTGGCAGGTCTACAGTTCCTGATTTAGTGCTTTCTGTCCTTTTCGGAAACCATATCAGATAAAGTATGAAACTAATCTGCAAGAGTTCTCAACACATGGTACTTGCAGTAGTGTCCCAAAAGTGATAATCATATCACCAAACTTCAAATCTTAACTTCTTCGAGAATTTGTTTCATGATGGGATACAGCAAGGGAGGGGACCTACTCCAGATGGATGGGAAATGAGTAGACGGACAGGAGACAGCAATCCTGATCTATCAGCATGGCCGCCACCCCATAATTATTCCGAGCGTATAGCAGGTTGGCAGTTTGCCTGCCTGACAAGGTCATGGAAATGATGTTAGGTAGCATCCTCACACCGGGGGGTGCTGCAGCCACTCCTCCCCTGGCCTCAAAGGGCTGTTCCTATCATCCGATGTGCCATCCTTGAAGGACACCCGCCTCTCAGACCCTCGCTTTGATGCCAACAAGCTTCTGCTTGCGCTCCCTCCTGCAATGCTCGAGCCATCTCGTACGTCCCCCCGTCTCTCCTCTCCCTCCACTGCCCCTCCACCTGGCCCAGCATCACTGAACCTTCGGGGCACCTCTCTCCTGCTTCCCGCTAGCTCCAGTGACTGCGGGGACTCCGCAAGGAGGTTATGGAGAGGCAAGGGAGCTGTGTAGACTCGCCGCATGCTTGGTGCCGCTGACGGCCCAGCGGGAGCACCCACTGCGTGGTCAGCGTTGTCCAGGGGGTGCGTGCGGGCGAGGTGGTCCAGCACGAGCGCCAGCATGCTTCTTAGCTCCTTCACCGCCGCCTCACTACGCGCCAAGTCCTCCTGCTCACGCATACGCACACACAGGGCGGAGGGGAGGAGGTGAGTTGGCATGGGAAAGGGAGAAGGATGAAGGGATGCTGTGAACGCTTTTAGACACCTGACAGCAATCCCCGCTGTGCCCGCACACAACCCCTCACACACTCATTTACAACACACCGCACAACGCCTTCTTCCCCACCTTGATGTGAGCCAGGCTGAGTTTCTGAACGGGCTTCTTGACGGGCAGGGCGGCCTGCTTCACCACCTCGCCACACTGCCGCACCACCGCCTGCGACAGCTGCTCCAGCCCCTCCTCGTCCTCCGCACCTGCGTTCGAACCTGCCCTGGGCCAGCACTTGTACGGCGGCTGAGCCTTGTGGGGCTCTCCTCGCTGAGAACAAATTGTGAAACATGGGAAGGGCGGTGGAGAGAGGGAGGTGCGGGGCAAGATTGATGTGAAATGGAACGATACAAGGCTTGCCATGCCACAACACTTGGCACAACAGATAGCACAACCACAGAGCATGGCAGAGCATGTAGCACAATATATGCCATAGCACAACCACATGGCATGCCCAAGTACTCGTTTTGACAACCATGGCAGCAAGCACCCACCTCCCTGTCGTGGCGGCGCTGCAGGATCATGGCGAGCGAGATGGCGTCGATGCGCTTCTCCCTCACTGTCAGCACATGCTGCCGCCGCTCCCAAGATTCGCTGGTAGATGCCTCGGGTTGGGTGTTCCCGCAGCTGCCGCAGAACATGGCTGCCGTCCGTTGCTGCATTGACTGCATGCGCCGCATCCGATGATCCGACTGCAACACACACGAATTGGAGGTCTTTGGTGAGAGCATTAGCTTCTGAAAAAAAGCCACCAGCAATGGCCGTTTCGGCATCAACCAACTCTACCACACAGGAAGTTGGTGACTAACTTGATCAAAGGAGCAAGAGAATGCCATACATAGGTGAGAAGCAAGAGAATGCCATACATAGGTGAGAAGCAAGAGAATGCCATACATAGGTGAGAAGCAAGAGAATGCCATACATAGGTGAGAAGCAAGAGAATGCCATACATAGGTGAGAAGCAAGAGAATGCCATACATAGGTGAGAAGCAAGAGAATGCCATACATAGGTGAGAAGCAAGAGAATGCCATACATAGGTGAGAAGCAAGAGAATGCCATACATAGGTGAGAAGCAAGAGAATGCCATACATAGGTGAGAAGCAAGAGAATGCCATACATAGGTGAGAAGCAAGAGAATGCCATACATAGGTGAGAAGCAAGAGAATGCCATACATAGGTGAGAAGCAAGAGAATGCCATACATAGGTGAGAAGCAAGAGAATGCCATACATAGGTGAGAAGCAAGAGAATGCCATACATAGGTGAGAAGCAAGAGAATGCCATACATAGGTGAGAAGCAAGAGAATGCCATACATAGGTGAGAAGCAAGAGAATGCCATACATAGGTGAGAAGCAAGAGAATGCCATACATAGGTGAGAAGCAAGAGAATGCCATACATAGGTGAGAAGCAAGAGAATGCCATACATAGGTGAGAAGCAAGAGAATGCCATACATAGGTGAGAAGCAAGAGAATGCCATACATAGGTGAGAAGCAAGAGAATGCCATACATAGGTGAGAAGCAAGAGAATGCCATACATAGGTGAGAAGCAAGAGTGGTTTAGAAATACCAACTGGGACCACGAACAGTATGTGGGGCCATGAAGAGTAAATTTCAATCAGTCAACCTATTTTTTTGTCCAGAGAATGACATTGCTGCCAGCGCTCACCTGGTCCACTCGGGTGTCCTTGGCTCCCAGCTGCACGAGGCGCTCGAGAATGAAAGAATACTTCAAGTAGCGCCCGCGCCAGCAGTTCCACTTGTACTTGATGATGTGAGCGAGGTCAGCGGCTATGGAGGTGGCGACAATGTGGCTGTCCTTGACGCTCATGAAGGCGTCGACGATGATGGCGATGAGGAAGTTGAGGAGGATGAAGACCATGAAGACGATGAACATGAAGAAGAAAAGCATCGCGGCTATCAGGTCCCATGACTCCAGGCGCTGCAAGAAGTAGGCCGACCCGTTGTCGTTGATGAGCAGCAGGAACAACGAGAACATGGACTCTGGTACCGTGGAGAACTGCAGTGGGTGGGGCAATGGATCAGAAAACACACAAGGTTGGAAAACAGGAGGGGACGCATGGTGACCCTGGAAATATATTCGGCTGAAACAAATATGGTTGCGTAGGCTGCACAAGTAAATGAGCCACGTGATATCTGTTTGTGTTTTATTTTACTCTGTTTTGTTCTTTTTTTTTAATGCATTTATTTGTTTATTTATTCATTAATTTATTTACTCGTTTAATTATTTCCTTATTTGTTTGTTTGTTTGTTTATTTATTTATTTATTCTTAGCCGGTTTCCACTTTCAGCTTAACTCGCCTCACGGAGCCCAATTGGTGCTCACTTGGACATCTATTTAGACTGCAAGAGCACACGAGCCCCGCACGTACCAGCTCCATTGCGCCTCCAAAGACGAGGTAGCCATACATGCTGAAGCAGAAGAAAACGGCAAAGGAGAGCAGGAAGAAGTGCAGCAGGGAGGGCGTGGCGAGGGCAAGGGATCGCGTGATGACCCCGAGGTATGGCTGGAAGTCCATGACCTTGAGAAGGCGAATCATCATGAAGAATACACTGGGGAAACAGGGAGCGGAATCAAGAGGAAGGGGAAGAGAGGAGATGAGAAGGGCAGTGCAATTTAGGGAATGTGGTGAATGGGACATAGATCATCAACGTATGATTACAGGTAGACATGCGAAAACAAGTTCAGTGAAAGGTCAATTTGTTTTTTTTTTACCGATCAACCTACAATCACAGGTAGATGCGCACACGAACATGATCACGCAAACGCACAAATGTACGTCTGCGCACACACGCACACACACACATGTCGATGTAGCCTTATGCTTTGCTCTTGGTTTGTTGTTCTAGTGAGTGCACCTGTGTTTGTATGGAATGGTGTGAGAGCATGACATAACTTGTTCCATGCTTTTATGAATGTTTGAATAGAATTTTCCTGATGTTGAATGCGTTTGTTGAGCCGTTATCAAGTTTACGCTAATCGCGTGACAAGATGCCGCTTGCGTATCATGTGCATTTTCAATTTTGTCGCACGCACGCACGCACGCACGCACGCACACACATCTATGTATGATGAGGGCAAGGCGGCTCACTTGATGCCCTGGAGGGCGAAGTAGACGGCGCGGAGGTTGATGATGTTGCGCAAATCAGCAAAGGCCTGAGTGGCGCTGAGGAAGCCCGTGGGTGGGTTGGGCACGGCCCAGTAGCGTGGCATCTCGAGCAGCGAGTAGTAGATGTCGTACCGTGGCTGCATGTCAAACCCACTCACGTACCGCCAAAGCGTCACCCTGTCCACACCACCAACCAAACGCGTGCACATGTAGAGGAAAGTGAGAGAAAGTGGGCATGTGGGAAATGGAGAATGGGCAGTGAGCAAGGAAATGTAGCCGTGGTGCCAGATCAAATTTTCAACTTTGTATGAATTCTACAGCAAAATCCATCTCTCACACAGCTAGGTTGGTTCCATACCAAAGAACAACCGCAACCACTTGCAACGCGAGGGAGAGCATGTCAACCCAGTTCCAGAAGAGGCCGAAGTAACTGAGCACAGAGCCATGGACGGCAGCGCGGTCGGCCATCTCCTGCAGCTCGCCACACACATTCCAGAGCAGCCCCACCAGATACACCACCTCCAGCACCAGCCGTGCGATGTTCTCCGCCGATGCATCGTACATCGCCATGGCTGCCGGCTGCGACTTGAAGCTCACTGCCATGCTGCCTCCGGCATTCACCGTGCAACGCACAGTTGTGAGCACGAACGTGAGCGAGTCCCCTGCCAACAGGAGGTGAAGGTGGTGCAGGTGAACGTGAGAGAAGGGGACGGCACAGAGCAGTGAAGGCCGGTGTAAGTCAGAACAAAGAAGACGCACGATAAACACATCCTGGTGTAACATGTAATGGTTAAAAGCCAAGGCAAGTACCATTGAAAGTAATGAAGCTGACGTCCACAGTGCGAGTGCCATTGTCAATATAGCTTCCATCCACCAGGTATTGTAAACGACGCATGGCCGCCTCGTAGTCGAGATTGATGTCAAACACCAAGGGGAGGGTTGTGAGCGAGTCCTGTAGGAAAATCACAGTGCAAGAAAATCCATCCTAAACAAGCTTGACCACAGACAACAACAACATCATCCATCTCTTAGTTCACAAATATTTCATCACTTAGAATAATGCATTTGCGTTTGCATCAACGTGTTGCACGCAAAATCCACCCATCACGGGAGATTGCATCAGGACAATCCAATCCATGATCCAACCCATTCGAACCCATTCCAGGTCATCATTCACGTCGTTAAGGATATTTGAATTGCACCAACCAGCCAGCCAATCGTTACACCAGCCGCATAGAGTATGGCAATGTTTCGCAAATCAAGCAGAGCGAAATTGATTGAAATAGCTGCCCATGGGGCAGACAAGGGCCATGGTATCACTGACCATTGGGTAGATAAAGCCATAGGGGAGACCCTGCGGATTGAAGCGCAGTTTGACACCGAAGGTGTTGTTGTCGAGCTGGGTGATGTTGGCGGTGGCAGCGCTGTCGTAGATGGCCGATGTGGGCAGGAAGTGCGGGTTCACTCCAAACGGCTCCCTGGACGTGCCGTTGCTGCACCACCCCGCCAGGTGCAGCAGCCTGGGGAGGGAGCGGAGGGGTGAGGGAGAGTGGGAGGTGTGGAGAAAGAGGTGGTGCAGCTGTGTGAAAGGAGGATATGAAGAGAAACTGGTGGCTGCACCCAGAACAACAGGTGTCAGAATCTAAAAATCGGCCTAACTTCGGGCTAGGCTCGGGCTGGGCGCGGCAGAAGCTGAAAAAAAAAAATCTGACTTAGCTCTGATACCATGTCAGATCTCAGCCACTATACCAATAAGATACAATGGCTTGTTAATTAACGGGTAAGTGCGCCCATAACCTCCCAAGCAAGCATGACTATAACCTTTCCCTAGTATCAATCGGAGATCCCAAGTGCAGGTCTTAGGACAACAGGATCAGACGAGCATCACGAAAGCCTGGCATGGCAGTCACCCCCCAATCACTAGATCCACTCACCCCGATCCGTTGCACTGCTTCGTGCCCCACCGATCTTGCTGCAGTACCATGCCGATTAGCAGTCTGCCACGGAGAAGAAGGGAGGAGGGAAGAGGGGTTGGCAAAGGGACATGCCAGAGGAGGAGGGATGGAAGCCGATCATGGTTGTGAGCAGAGCTGCAGGAGGTATGATGGGCAAAGGAAGCTGACGGACCAAAATGATGCCACGTGGGTCTGCTGTGCCTTCGGTACCGATGCGAGACGACACGGTGGAGAGCGGTGCCTCTCTCAGTGGTCCAAGATGGTGGTGGGAACAAGTGAGGTGGCTGACAAGCAGGCATGGCAGGGAGGCACTGGGCCGTACCGGTTGCGGCGGGACACGAAGCGGTTGACAGCACGACCCCTCTCAGCAGCGAAGGCGTAGTTGCTCTCCGTGTAGTTGGGGCCGTAGCGCTGCAGTGAGAAGGGGAAGTTGAGATTGGCGCCCACCGCCGTGGATAGACAACACGCTGGCAACAGGGGAGAGAGGGAAGGGGTAAGGAGGAAGGAGGAAGGGGAGGAGTATGAGGAAGAGAGAGCAGGGATGGTGGGACAAGGACTTCACTGCAAGAAAGCGCAAACCAGGAATCAGTATGAGTAAACCGGGAATAGAAAGTGAACAAGACAGGCGGAGGAGGGAGGAAAGCGAGTAGGAGTGAATCGAGAACGGGGGGAGGCGAGCGAGAGAGGCGAGTCGAGGGGGGGAGAGGGATGACTGACAGCCGTCGTCGCGCCGCGTGTGGCCGGGGGGACAGGGGCAGATGCCGGGGCCAAAGAGCGGGTCGACACACGCGCAGTCGCCACCGTCAAAGGCGCACGCGGGCATGTTGCACGCCGCATCACACACCCCGTTCGCCAGCCGCCACAGCAGACAGCCCGGCGCGCACTCGTAGGGTGCTGAGGAGGATGAGGAGGAGGAGGCGGATGGGGTGATGGTATTGGTGGGGGTGAAGCGTGCAGTGCTTGAGAGAGTGGTGCTATCGGTGACATTCACAACACCTGCCATGCATACACGGGAGGGAGGAGGAAGAGGAATGGATGCAGCATGGGCGCAGGAGGGAACCGTGAGAGCGAAAAAGATGCATAAACGGGAGGGGAAGAATGCCTAGAAGGAAGTCACAAATGCAGATTGGCATGCCGTATGTCTTGCAGCATGGCATATAGTACGACAGGTGGCATGGCATGTGGTATGGCATGTGGTATGGCATGTGGTATGGCATGTGGTATGGCATGTGGTATGGCATGTGGTATGGCATGTGGTATGGCATGTGGTATGGCATGTGGTATGGCATGTGGTATGGCATGTGGTATGGCATGTGGTATGGCATGTGGTATGGCATGTGGTATGGCATGTGGTATGGCATGTGGTATGGCATGTGGTATGGCATGTGGTATGGCATGTGGTATGGCATGTGGTATGGCATGTGGTATGGCATGTGGTATGGCATGTGGTATGGCATGTGGTATGGCATGTGGTATGGCATGTGGTATGGCATGTGGTATGGCATGTGGTATGGCATGTGGTATGGCATGTGGTATGGCATGTGGTATGGCATGTGGTATGGCATGTGGTATGGCATGTGGTATGGCATGTGGTATGGCATGTGGTATGGCATGTGGTATGGCATGTGGTATGGCATGTGGTATGGCATGTGGTATGGCATGTGGTATGGCATGTGGTATGGCATGTGTTATGGCATGTGGTATGGTATGTGGTATGGACGCACCAGCAACCTCGGCTCCTGCTCGTGCAGGCAGCACAGTGAGAAGAGACGCAGCAGACGTGGAAGACGAGGACGAGGGGGAAGAATCATCGAGCGAGAGAGTGCCGTCCTCGTAGTGGATGGTGATTGGCTCCTCAAACACCTTGCTGTACGCAAAGGAGCCAGCGGAGCCGTCGTCTATCTCTGGTTGGAGGGAGAGAGAGAGAGAGAGAGAGAGAGAGAGAGAGAGAGAGAGAGAGAGAGAGAGAGAGAGAGAGAGAGAGAGAGAGAGAGAGAGAGAGAGGACCAAGGGCGGAGTGGAGGGAAGTGGGAGACGGAATGGGGTGTGAGGATGCAGCAGCAGGGTGGGATGGCACATGAGACGAGACAGGACAGCCATGTGCGCTTGGGCAGTGATTGCTAACTTCATCCCTGGTTGGTTGTACAAGGAGAGAGTGAGTGCACCCCCACTCACTGAGCACGCATGGCATGGGCTCATCAAAGGCGTCCCCATAGCCCAGTTCAAAGGAGTGCATGCCAGCTTGCATTTTGAGTTGAGTCAAAACACCCCCCTCCCCACTCACTGAGCACGCATGGCATGGGCTCGTCAAAGGCGTCCCAATTGCCCACGTTCAGGGGAGTGCATGCCAGCTTGCGCGACACGGCCAGGCGGTGCCCTCCGAAGCCCAGAAACAGCGACGACGAGGCAGCAGTAGGCGCTCTGGCGGAAACAAGGGCTCAGATGGCCGGTCCCTTCGAAAACACAGCCCCGCTCTTCGACTGGTTGGAGAGGTGCGAAGAGGCATTGCCGGACGAAGGAAAGGAGTTGCTGCAGAGCGAACGGGCTGAGCCCAAGGGCATCAACCTGCAGCATGGACTGGCAATAGCAGTCCACGGGCTGCGCTACGCCGAGCAGGTCCAAGACACGCGCTCGATGCAGCTCAACCCCCTCAGTGGCCACACCCAACGCATGCTTTCCCTCTCGGGATACGGGGCAGGGGACTGGCTACACGCGGTCCCTTTCAACTCCTCGCTACGCCTCGCCCCGGCCCACTTTGCCCATGCGCTGCAGTTCCGGATGGGCTTACCTTCCTCAGCCCCAGGCGCCTGTGACTGCCGCAGAGAAGTAGAAATCACCGACAGGAGACTGCCCAACCACCTGCTCCGCTGCGACACAGGAGGGGGGCGGACCAATACTCACAACGAACTGCGTGATGAGTGTGTACGCATGGCGGAAGACGCGGGATTTATGACCCACAGCGAAACAACAGCATTCTGCCCAGTCACCAGGAAGAAAGCCGACATCGCCATACGGGACCGCTCGTCCGGGGCCGTTTGGATCGGGGACGTGACAATCACGGACCCCATTAGCACCCGTGACCCCAATGCGATCAAAGGGAGGGGCTGGGCGGCACGCGAAGCGGCAGACAAGAAAATATCCGACTATGACGGTTCGACGGCCTCATGGGTTGGATTCTTCCCACTGGCCGTCGAGACTTACGGATGCCCGTGCGCGGAAGTCCCCGCATTCCTCAAACTCCTTGCTGACACCACTGCCCGCAGGCACTTCAACGCCCCCCCTTCCTCTTACCAGGCCACGAAGCTGCTGCATCAGTTCCGTCAGCGTTGGTCCGTGGCGCTGCAGCGTGCTCAGTCGGTGAGCTTCATGACGAAATGCAACTTCGCGGCACAGGTGGAAAACCCACCTGTGGGGATGCCGGGAGAGGGCATGTCCCTCGGGGATTGCTTTGCAATCCTGGAGCCAGCACTGGAGCTCCCTTAGGTGGAGCGGTAGGGAGAGGGGGATGAAGGGGCGGGGTTAGTACCAATGATACATGTTCCAGGTGCCTCCTTTTTCTTCCGCGCATGTCTGTACTTTTCTGCTTGCTAATACAAGGACCGCTTAGAGAGAGAGAGAGAGAGAGAGAGAGAGAGAGAGAGAGAGAGAGAGAGAGAGAGAGAGAGAGAGAGAGAGAGAGAGAGAGAGAGAGAGAGAGAGAGAGAGAGAGAGGACCAAGGGCGGAGTGGAGGGAAGTGGGAGACGGAATGGGGTGTGAGGATGCAGCAGCAGGGTGGGATGGCACATGAGACGAGACAGGACAGCCATGTGCGCTTGGGCAGTGATTGCTAACTTCATCCCTGGTTGGTTGTACAAGGAGAGAGTGAGTGCACCCCCACTCACTGAGCACGCATGGCATGGGCTCATCAAAGGCGTCCCCATAGCCCAGTTCAAAGGAGTGCATGCCAGCTTGCATTTTGAGTTGAGTCAAAACACCCCCCTCCCCACTCACTGAGCACGCATGGCATGGGCTCGTCAAAGGCGTCCCCATTGCCCACGTTCAGGGGAGTGCATGCCAGCTTGCGCGACACGGCCAGGCGGTGCCCTCCGAAGCCCAGAAACAGCGGATCGTCCACCTCCCCCATCCCCGCCACTGTCGGTGGTGGCAGTGGAGAAAGAGAGTTTTGGGGAACAAGTGATGCAGGCAAGCAAGGGAAAAGAGGTGTCGCGAAGCAGAGTCGGTGCAAGATAGGTTAGAAAATATATGAAAAGGGATGGCACACGCACTGGTATGCTTCAAAGAGAGAAATACAAGCATTGCTGATCAGAGGAGCAATTGGCACCAAGGAAGGTGGTAGAGCTACAAAAGGGCGTACCCTTAAGGGAGTGCGGGAGGTCGTCATCCCACACCCAGGTGACCTTGTCGCCCACATGGACCGTCGTGTTGTGCGTCACGCCTGCCCGCCACGGCAGCCACGCTCCACCTGATGGGAGACAGAAAGGGAGGAGGGATTGCCAGCAATCAATTATGATTTGTCTGACCTGACGTGCCATGGTGACAGCAACACTTGGCCGTACGTCTACAAATGGAAACTCTCTGAACATACACCTCCACATCCACATGCACACGTGCATGCACCCACCACCACTACTGCCTGGCCATGAGCACCTTGAGAGCAGCCGACAGCGTCGGAGGAGACGACAGCATCATCAAAGGAGTGCAAGAGCGCATTGAGGCGTGCCGCTGCCACGTCTGGCACAGGTGTGACAGAGCTCACAGCCGCTGCCACCATCTGCACCCACCGCACCATGTGCTGCGCCGAGATCACATGCCCGCTATGGCGGAACTTGAGGTATGCAAACATCTCTGCCATGGTCATCACTTGCTTCCCATCCGCACCATACATGCGGCACTCATCCATGGTGGTGACAGGTCCCCCCAGCATGGTGCAGAGGGTGGCCACCACGTGCCAGCGCACGCTGCCCGGCCCTCCCAGTGTGTGGGAGCGCTTTGATCCGGGTCCGTGGCCCGCCAGGCAGCGGTCCTTGGCCATGGTGAAGAGAGCTCGCGACACCGCCACCTGCAGCACTCTCAGTCGCTGTTGATCCGTGGCGCCTAGGAGGGACCACGGGGAGGGCTCTGAAGGGTTTGCTACGGCTGCTGCTCCTTCTGCTGTCATCGTCGCTGCTGCCGTTGCTGTTTCTGCCGATGTTTCTGCTGCTGGGGATGGTGATGCTGACGCAGGTGCCACCTCCAACCTCTGTGCTTCCTGTGGCTGCGCTGCTGTGAGTGCAGTGACAGCAGCAGAGGCAGAGGCAGGGGAGGCAGAAGAGGCGGAAGCAGGGGCAGCAAGGGAGCGCACTGCGGCTCCAGTGGGCAGGGGGAAGGTGTCTGCGGCGCCAGAGGCAGCTGAGGCGGGCCAGCGGTCATAGCTGTGAGAGTGGTGGAAGCGGTAGAGCGCCTGAGAGCAGAGAGCAGCCATGCACCACGGATTGGGAGAGTGGCACGGGGACGAAAGGTTGTGAAAGTGAGGGTGGGAAGACTGGACGGCATGGCAGGGTGAAAATGTGGAGGTGGGTGAAAATGTGGAGCTGGGTGAAAATGTGGAGGTGGGTGAACATGTGGAGGTGGGTGAACATGTGGAGGTGGGTGAACATGTGGAGGTGGGTGAACATGTGGAGGTGGGTGAACATGTGGAGGTGGGTGAACATGTGGAGGTGGGTGATTCCCGGGGCAACTGGAGGTGCAGGCACACTAGCGAGGAGGGGAGAATAACAGCGAGCAGTCGGGACCCGCATTTGCAAAGAGGAAACCACACACAGAGAGAGGGATAACAAGTGAATCACATGTAGGGGGGTGGCAAGAAGTGGGAAGACACTCACCTTGCGGCGGCTGCTGTGCGATAAATGAGCCGTTGCTTCTGAGGCTGGGATGGGACGGAGACAGTGGGGTGCATCGAGGGGCGTCCCAGCGTGGGATGAGAAGAGCAGGGAGAGCAATGGAGCACATGTGAGGCTTAGAGCACATGTGAGGAATGGAGCACATGTGAGGAATGGAGCACATGTGAGGAATGGAGCACATATGAGGAATGGAGCACATGTGAGGAATGGAGCACATGTGAGGAGGCCGGTGTGTGGAAACAGTGGAAGGAGGCGCCGGAAGGGGAGCACTGCACGCATGCTGCCTGGCACACGCAGCTAGTGCGTACCTGAAACGTTGCATGCGGTGTTGGCAAACAACGATGCGATCTCCGGCTGGAAAAACATACGAAGGGGCGTCGGAGGGGGAGTTGTGTGGCAGGAGAGAGGAACAGGGCTGAAGTGAGCAGATGAAGAGGAAGGAGGGCAGAGAGGAGAAATGCCATGGGGGTAGGTAGGAGGCTGTATGCGGCATGGCAGGCGGGTTGCTGCATACAATTATTCATACAAGTATTGGCTCACCAGGCACGGCATGGGGCAAGGGGCGCACCAAGGGGCAAGGGGCGCACCATGGGGCAAGTGACATCGGTGTAGGTGGTGATGGAGGCGCGTGCAACGATGCACATGCGCGCACAGTCCACGAACGCCCCTGCCACCTCCCTCTCCGTGAATGGCCGCCCACAGGTCGTTGGCAGGCAGGCCACCAGCCTTGCACACGTCTGCAGCACACATGATGAACACACACACACACACACACACACACACACACACACACACACACACACACACACACCAACACACACATGCACGCATGCATAGTCAGTTGAATTGCAATCATATGTGACAGAAAGCATGCACACAATCCGCTCCAGAAGATGCGTACAGTGGTCGCATATGGAGCAGCGGTCGCATATGGCATGCTCACATCACGACACATGTCAGGCGGAGCACCAGCAGCGCCGCCACTGAGCAGCATCTGATTGGCCAGCGCCACATCATCTTCAAGCGCGCAGGACCCCCATGCGGCGAGCTCGATGGTTGAGGCCGCACCGACGACGGAGAGGCGCTGTGTGCCGGGAGGGGGTGCATGCACGGTGCCGCGGATGCCCCCCGCGGGCGCATTGAGCACCACCACCCAGTCGCCGTCCGGAATGTCCAACGGTACCGCCACCTCAACATCGCCCCGTGGGAATGGCTGAAATGACTCGTACCTGCATGCACCACATGGGGTTGGGTGGGATGGGACAGGATGGGATGGGACGGGACGGGATGGTATGGAGTGGAATGGTTGGGATGGGATGGGATGGGATGGGATGGAATGGGATGGGTTGGGATGGGATGGGATAGGATGGGATGGGATGGGATAGGATGGGATGGGATGGGATGGGATGGGATGGGATGGGATGGGATAGGATGGGATGGGATGGGATGGGATGGGATGGGATGGGATGGGAACACAGGAGGACATGGCAAGTAGAGCATAGAGGCGAGAGAAGGGCACGTACCAGCAGAGGGAGATCGGGTCAACCATGCAGAGGTTCCAGGAAGATTCGTCTGCTGCCTGCTGCGTGTCGAGGTGGGAGGAGAATCTGACAACGATGGAGGTGAGGTTGGGGAACGTGCCGCAGTCCGCCTCGCAGCCAAAGCGGCCAAACGCGGGGAACTGGAAGGGGCGGTCGCACGTGCCGTCGCCACACGTGGGATCCGCCCAGTGGCTCTGCAGGAGCAACAGGCGGGAGGAGTGGGGCCGTGAGGAGCTGACGGGGTGATGAATGTGCGGGCTGTGATGCGGGCAGGAGCGAGGCTTGGATGTGCAGAGCAGGGGACATACGCAGCAGGTGCAAGAGGAGCGATGCAAGAGGAGAGATGCAAGAGGAGAGATGGAAGAGGAAAGATGCAAGAGGAGAGATGGAAGAGAAGAGATGGAAGAGGAGAGATGGAAGAGGAGAGATGGAAGAGGAAAGATGCAAGAGGAGAGATGCAAGAGGAGAGATGGAAGAGGAGAGATGGAAGAGGAGAGATGGAAGAGGAAAGATGCAAGAGGAGCGATGCAAGAGGAGAGATGGAAGAGGAGAGATGGAAGACGAAGAAGAGATAGCGCAACGCACCTGCACGATGCTGGTGTTGAGCCAGCTGTAGAAATCCTCTGGTCCATTGAAGGTGTTGGAGGCGTCCTGACGCATGCCCTGCTCTCACAAGGGGAGAGACGCACGCAGGGCGGTGGGTGAGGAGAGGCGACTGAGAGGAGAGGTGAAGAAGGTGCGGAAAGCAAGGCAATGGCACAGCAAAAGTGATTTCATACAGGGGTTTAGCATTGGCAAGGGCAACGCATACATTCCAATTCGTGTTGAAATGGAAGCGTGCTAGAATGAAAGAATGCATGCATGCTAGAGAGAGTGGGCACTTGCATGAGTGCACGTTAGAATGAATGCGCACTAGAACTACTGCGTGTTGGAACTATCGTGTGCTCGAATCAATGCGCCTTAAATGAATGCAAGCTAGAGGAGCAGGAAAGGGTGACCGGGGAAGAGCACGAGAGGGGGGGGGAGGAGCATACCGGGGGGAAGAGAACAAAGTGTGATTGAGGGGGGGGTGGAGGCGTACTGGGGGGAAGAGGACGGAGTGTGCGGCGGTGATCTGGTAGCTGCGGGAGGAGTCGGCCTGGAGGTAGAGGATGGTGATGAAGAGCGCCATGAGCACCACGAACCCGCCCAGGTCGCGGTAGTGCTGCACGCGCTGCTGCAGCGCCACCACGCGCACGAACGCCTCTGCCACCAGCCGCGCGAAAGTGGGAGGGCGGGGGAGGGAGGGGGCGGGAAATTGGGAGCGATTACGTGGGAAAGGGCGTCACGGCACGGGAAGTTGAGGCGGTTGCGAGCAGCAGCGAGAGCGACGGTGCCGGTGACGCGCAACGCCAAAGGCGCCCACAGCCCATCAGTAAAGCACCGCTCTGAACCTGCGCGCACCTTGCAGCACCTCTCGGTCCATCTCGTCCATCTCCGCGTCCTGCAGAACGTCGCTCGCCGACCGCGGCAAGCCGTTGAAATCGCCGCGCGCCATGGTCTTCCCCGTCGTATCCTCCGTCAAACTGCGCTTCAATAAGGCCCCCGCCGCGGTCGCCTTTCCCTCTCCGCCCTCCGCGTCCTCGCCGTCCGCGCCATCCGCGCAATCCGAGCAGCTCTCATCGGCGCGCGTGCTTGCCTGCCTGATTTTCTTGCGGCAATACCGCAGGAAGCCCCGCAGCCCCCTCTCTTCGTCCGCTGCGCTCTCGTGACTGCTTGTGCTGCTGCTGTTGCCGCTGCTGTCTCGCGCTCCCCTTGTCTTCGAACCCTCTCCGCCAGCTCTCCCTTCCTCCGTCAACCTCTCGGCCGCTCCGCGTTCCGCGTGATCCCCTCCCAAGTCCCCGTCGCCGCCGCAGCCCTGCTCTTCCGCATCTCTCTCTGCGACTTGACTGAACGACGAGTTCTCTTCGACACGTGTCATGAGCTCCGCATTTTGCGGCGCGTATCCATAGCTATCGAGGAAATCCAAGTTGTGCTGCTCGTTGCTGCGAGACCCTGAAGCCTTGCGCCTTTCAGAGGCGGAGGGGGGGAGGGCGGAAGACTTGGAAACTGGCGGAGTGGAAGGGAAAATACACGTGCTTTCACGTGCTTTCTTGAAAACCGGAAGGCGCACAAAGAAGACCACAAGAAAAAACTCGTAAAGCTGCATAGGTAACCCGCCCTCACAAACGCATGTTTTCAGCTACTGCATTCGTAGTAAGTACTAGCCTTCACAGGCAAACGTGGTGCTCAGGCTCACCTGGAAAAAGCGACAGATTTGGATCGAGCCCACATGCGGTAATTGGCCGCCTCGTACGCCTCGAACTTCTCGTCCAGCAAACTCTCAGAGCGCGTTAGCACCGCTCCGTCTCTTGCGCCATTCGCCTCCGCCTTCTTCTTCGCGCGCACCACTGCGACCGCCTCCGCCATCGCTACCACGGCGAGGCAAGATCTGCTCGGAATTAGCTACGACGGGGCTTTACAACTATAAGTTTCTAGTACGCCGCAACTATAGTACCTTATAACGCGTCATTGCTCTGTGTGCTTAGCAGTTGTTAGCAGTTGGATATGCAAGGATGCTTCAAGGAGGGTGTTCAAGTGAGGAGCTCGACATATTTTGAGGGCGGTGAAGCGCCTAGGATGACTCAGGTCGAAGTTCCGACAGTCCTTTCCAGCCATACGCTTGTTCGCTTTGACGGTTGTGGTCGACATCCACACAATTGAGATGAGACGCCCCGCCAGAGATTGAAGGGGGGGTGTAGAATCTACGTACGGAGCACGGGACGGGACGCGACGGGTCACGGGAGCCACGTACGGGATGCCGAAATAATTCACTTTCAGAATGTATGGCTGACAGGAAAAAATTTCCTGAACTTACAGCCAACCTGAGGTCGTACGGATTCCAAAAATGGTAGATACACCTAGCCCGCGCCATTTTCAATCCCCCCAATTTCAAAAGGTTTGTCGCCACCTCTGGGGATGGGGGGCAAAACTGAACAGTAGCAAGGCATATTTGCGGTCTATATGCACTGACGCGTCAGCAGCATTCCCAACTCTTTGGAGAGACAGAATTCAGACTGGACGCGAAAATGATGTGTAGGTTTTGGTCAGAAATCCGCCACATACGTGGAGGGAAAATCCGCCCTGTCAGCACTCGCAGCCAGGTGCTGACTCACTGCACAAATATCCCACGGGCAAGTGGCAAAATCGCGGCTCGGTACCGTCTTTTTGAAATTAGCGCGGGCTACGTGTAGTAGCCGCTGATCAGGTTCTGTCGGCATGTTTTGGGATACAAGTTGCAAGGTGGTTTCGCCACCACCGCGAGGGTGCAGTTCTTGCCTTGCCCTGTCAGTCATCCTCCTCTCACGTTCTGACATAAGAGGGGTCTTCCCCTACTGTACACTTCGCACTGTCAGGTGTTCAGTGTGTGCTCATTCAAATTTACACACCAACAACTCGCTTCGCTTGTAGTCCGTATTTACACACGGTATAAGTCTTCTCAACATTGCCTATGACCCACTAACAGAGGTTGAAACTTGCATTTTTTCTTAACGCCCGCATCTTAGAATGCCTGACTTTTGCACCAGTTGAAGGAGAAACAATTTCTCTGTTGGCGCCAAGTCACACCCGGGGTAACGGCATCTGGACGGGCTCAGGAATCAAGAATGCAAGCGAAGAGCAGTTGAGCGGTTTGCCTGCCTGACAAGACAATGCCAGTCGCATGTACCGGTAACTTTTATTGACTTCCTGACAAGCTTGCCAGAATATAGATCACTAATGGTACAGGATAGTTGTGACGTGAGGCCTTATTGGCCAACCTAGAAGCACCAACAAATCATGATCTACATGTGGAAGGCTGTCCTTCCGCTTCCTAGAAGTACAATATCATAATTTAGCGCCCTGCGTGCTCGGTGCAGAGGCTGGGACAGATTTGTAGTAGGAGGGGCAGACTGCTGGGAAGAAGACTCGCCGTACCCCCTCCGCCTTGATGATTGGCACAATCAGCTGAACAGCTCCCTGCAGGAACAGCCAAAACCGCAAACGAGGGGGGAGGATGCTTACATCATAACACAGCAAAGCCTCAGCTTATCTCATGAATGGATCGCACAGATGCATGAGAGTCCTGGGGCACAACACCTGCATGGATTTCCCGCACTGCAGTACCTGCCTGACCCGTACCAAATGTAAGGTGCACGAGCGTACCTGTATCAAGCGTGCGCCGAGCCAGACACGGCCAGGCTTGGGGAGGGGCAGGAGGAGGCGCGCGAGAGCAAAGAATGCGACAGCGAAGAAGTGCAGCACGAGGCTCAGCGGCTGTGGGTTGAGGCCTGAGAGCAGCGAGATGGGGCCCTCTGAGCACGCCCCGCCCAGCTGCAGGTAGTCAAAACACGCCTGCAATCGGGGGAGGACCGGAGGTTGGGGGGCAGGGGTGTGAGGATGGGAGGGGTTGACAATTGAGGTTTGCTGTGGGTTTGGTGGGCTGGCGTAAATGCTGTTGATTGAGTGGGTGTGGTGCAGTGAGGTGGCGGGTGAGTGGCAGGGAGCTGTGGCAGCAGCAGACAATATGGGTAACAGTAACGTGGCAGCGAGTAGTGCGAGGGGAGGGTGCGGATGGGGGAATGCATGGTAACAGCAGTGGAAGGCGTGGCAGGGGAGGTGGGGAAGGGAAGGGAAGCTGACCTGGCGTGGCGCATGGCCATCATGGCCTCATCCTTGGCGGCACAGAAGATTTTTGAGGTGCCGCAAAAGAGGGGAGGGGGGAAAGTGAGGGGGAGGGAGGTGGGCGGGGCAATGTACCTGGCGCATGGCCATCATGGCCTCGTCCTTGGAGGCGCAGAAGACCCGGTAGAGTGCGATGGAGAGCGTGTTGATGGTCGCTGCTATGGGCTGCACCACATGCATGGCATAGGTGGAGAGCACGGCACATGGGGTGCACCACATGCATGGCATAGGTGGAGAGCACAGCACATGGTGTGCAGGAAACAGGAACCAATGTATTAGGACAAGCTTCATGTGATGGGTGGTTGGAGCAAGCAACTGTTAGCACGAGCAAGAAGCACATGTATGCTTATCAATTCCATGCCATGCACCATCGCATGCTCACATGACAACAACTCATTGCATCACTCACAGCCTGTACAGCCCAAACCACTGACACACCAGCGCACACACACACACAAGTGCGGACACACAGACGCGCACACGCGGACGCACCTTGCGGCGCGTGTAGAAGGCCTCGGCGTATTCACAGACCGCCCGCGTATTGCGGAAGTCCTTGAGCGGGCGGAGGATCTGAGTCAGCACTGACACGTCAGACAGAGCCACTGTCATGCCGCCACCTGTCGTGCGGGGCATGAAGAAAGCACAAAGAGACAAGCAGCACGATGGCATGGGGCAGAGGCTGGCGAGCAGTAAGGCGGAGGCGGGCGAGGGCGCGGGAGTCACGGGCGAGCGCAGCTCGGAATGAGAGGGAAGCATGCACGAAGAAACCAAGAGAATAAAAAAAAAAACAAGAAACCTGAAACCTGTGGCAGAAGGAGGAGGAACGCAACTGAGTGGCAGCAGGAGGAAGAGGCACAAGAAACCTGTGGGTCGTAAGGTGTCATGTGATAGTGTGGGGGCTGCAAGCAACGCACCTGTGAGCGGGTGTCGCATGTTGAACGCGTCGCCCATCAGCAGCGCGCCGGGACGGGTGACGGGGACAGCTGGCATGATGCGATTGGGCATGCACCGGATGTCGCCCGCCCGCACCGCCTCTCGGAACGGCCCCTGCAGCTGCTTCGGTAGCTGGGGGGTTGGGGAGGAGAGGCGGGGGAAGGGGAGAGGGTGCGGAGGAATGGGGATGGGAGTGAGAACAACCCGAGGTGAATGCGGATGCTGAACGAAGCACGGGAGTGAGAGACGCATCAGCTGAGAGGATTGGCGCGCAATAAGCTGCATTGTAAGAGAGCGAAGAGCGCAGGCAGGGGAGAAGAGGGGAGGGGAGGGGAGGGGCGGGGAGGGCAGAGGCATGCGGGTCGTACCTGCGGGAGGACGTTCGAGAGGAGGTAGTCCGCCATGTCCCCCGAGGCGATGGAGGGCACCTTGGTGCCGGCGGGGATGTCGACGAGGCAGCGCACCTCCGTGCTGCTGACGGGGTAAAAGAGCACGGGCGACGGGTCCGCCAGCACCACGTGGCCGTAGTTGGGGTGCGGCAAGGCGCAGTCGCGCAGCAGCAGCCCCACGAACGACGACGGCACGTCCACCTTGGACTTGGAGATGGAGCGGCGGAGGTTGGAGAAGCAGCCGTCACACACGAACGTCAGCGGCGCCAGCATCTCGCCCTCCTCTGTCTCGCCCTTCCCGCCCACCACGCTTGCCTCCTGCACGCTGCCCGGCGCGCTGCCGGGTGCGCGCTTGGCGGCGCGGTAGCGCACGCCCGTGACGCGGTCGCCGTCCTCCAGCAGGCCCAGCACCGTCGCCTCTCTCAACGTCACTCTGCTCGCATCGCACCGTGGGTGGTGAGGAGAGAGGCAGCGGGGGAAAGATGTGAGAGAGGGAGAGAAAAATCAGGTGAGGAGTGAAGGCATCCTACTCCACAATGCGTCCATCCAGCGCATGTATTCCCTAAAATAACTCGGCGCATCAGCCGGCTCCTTGACAAGCAAAACGCATCTCACGGCCCCGCATCAACCTGCCATCACCTCGCCCGTGCCAACGTAACCGGATGATCTCTTCTTTCTCCCAAGCAGGTACCCCCGACCCTAACCCTGGCCGTGATCAGCCATTATCCCAATTTTCATCAGCCGCAGCCCTGGCCTCATTAACCGTAGCGCCTGCCAGATCCCAGTCCCGTACGCACGTGGGCAGCGACGCCGCCTTCTCGCGCAGCCGCTGCACGAACCGGCCGTTGTGGAACCCGCGCCCCGCCACCTTCCACATCTCGTCGCCCGCCGCGCTGCCCGGCGCCTCGAGGCGGTGGCCCGCGAAGAGCATGTGCAGCTGCGCCGTGGAGAGCGTGGGGTACGACACCTTGCAATCGCCGCCGTCCATGAAGAGCGCGTAGCCGTCCACGCGCTGCGCGTCGATGCCGTCCACGCAGTCTGCGCACACACGGGTGCCACGGCAACGTGAGCACCGACGAGCGAAACGCAGCGTAGAAGCACGGCCAGATCACCGAAGGACAATGTGGGGGAAGGGACATCGGATCTTCAAGTAACTTGCACGAACACAGAGTACCTTCGTATGGCGCAATCCCATGAACTAGAGATGGCCTTACAATGGGACGTAAATAGCTGTGCAACATACCTTGCATGCCCAGCTCGACGAGCTTGAGATAACCGCCGGGCTGCAGCAACTCGCCCACGATCCGATCTGGCTCCGACAGATCCCTCTCCAATACCAACACTCGCCGTCCCGTCTGCCGCACAGAACCGCACAGCACCAAGTTAATGACAGATCAGGAAATGCGAATTCGAGTTACGATGTTAAGTGGTCGTCGCATAGGCGCCAAGCGGTCACAGTTCACGCTACTTTACGGTTAGGCTAGGAAAGGGTCTCGCCTAACCTTTCCGAGGGAGTAAGCGAGCGCGCATCCCGCAATGCCTGCACCGACCACAAGCGCATCGTATTCCTCCTTGCCACCGCCCCCGATGCACGCGCCGTCGCTGGTCTGCTCCGCGGCGCTGCTCTGATCTACTCGCGCATCGTGCCGCCCAGTGTCAGTTAGTCGCTCCAACGGCATTTCTTCTAACGGCGTGGCACTAGCGAGCGCATCTCGTTGTTTGTCGCGCGAGTATTGCATCGAGATGTACGTGGCGGCTACTAACAAAGCTAGCGTCCACGCTAGCGTGACCGTGCCGATCCCGTCCACCACGCTCCAAAACGATGCCGTCAACGACGACATATCCGCCATTGCGCGCAGACACCTCACGCTCTCGGATCTAGCGCTAACTAGCTAGTGCTTCGCGAACACGGGAGTGTCCGCGTAACTGTGAGTGCCACAAAGGCATGGGAAGAGCAAAAATCTTCTGTGCAACGCAGTCTACCTGAAGGTGGCCAGCATTGTCTAAGGGTTAAAGCCAGTCACTAATGGGACTGGGCTGGACCACGCAGATGAGCGGCTGAACGGGGTTGGGGGGAAGAGATCTAAATTTCTCCAGCAGGGGTACTGTACCACAAATCGCTGCAGGGCTGGTCGGGAATGCCTGGTTTTGCGCGCCAGCACATTCTTGGGGATTGAGTTCAGCTGGAATCGACGGCGTAGAGCAGGAGTACCCTCGCTTCGTGGCACGTGGCTCCTTGTAACTCGTTAAACAGCTGGCGGGAAACTGGGTGGTGAATCGGGGTCAGGAGGGGAACGGGGGAAGTCTCACACGTAAATCTCCCGGTAGATTCAGCCGCACAATGGGAGCCAATGCCATCCATCGCTGCTGGCACGTGTGGCGCAAGTATGAAATCATAGAACCTTCTGAAGCCGCCAATGTTTCAAGGACGCGTTCTTTCTGCTGCAATTATTCACACACCCCAATTGACCTCAAGCAACTGACTAGTGTCGGTTTGTGTGTCGGTATTTCTAAATCCTTAAATTCTTATGTGAAAAGGCATACGAGATGATCAACTTGACTACCAAAAGAATCCGGTGAGGCTCATTCTAGCGCGGATGTTATATGGCTTCTGGCATTTGTGGGCACGACATCAGCGCAGGGGTCTGCTTGTTCGCTCTCGTCTTAGTTGTTCGCCAACTAGCAGATACTGTGGAAGGAAGGGATAGGTTTGTGCCAGACACAGTCACGTCGCATGCTTTCGCGTCTCAAAGCGTTTTGGTCCTTCATCTTGTGTGCCGAGTAGGAACTTCGCGATTATCGAAAGCCCCAATGGCGGCAGCACCAGAGCACGTGGATGGCGTGTATCCACCCGCACCAAGCGCTGGAGATCGTGACGTAGATTACACGCAGTCTTCAATCCCGGCCGTTAATTCTGAAGGCTTGGTTCCAGGGTTGCCTGTGGTGAGCAATGACGGAAGCGGAACCGTAGCCGGTAACGTTAACGGAGACGGAGGCTTAGGCAGAGACGGAGGCATGGACGGAGGCGGCGGAGCGACGGGGTTGGAGGATCAGACGGCCGGCGGAGACCAGAGCGTGGCGACGCCGATGACGGAGCGCAAGCGGGAGAAGCAGATGGAGGTGTTCGTGGGCGGGCTGGACAAGGACGCGTCGGAGGAGGACGTCAAGCGCGTCTTCGGCCGCGTCGGCCAGATCGCGCACGTGCGCCTGCCGCGTGACGCCGCGACGGGGCGCAACAAGGGCTACTGCTTCGTGCAGTACGCCACTGAAGGCGCCGCGCGCCGAGCTGCCGCTGAACTGGACCGAATAGTGGTACGCACCCGTCGCCGTTAGAAAAGCCCTGGTTTTAGTTGGCCCTGGTTTTCGAGGTTTTGGTTTTGGTTTTAGTTGGCCCTGGTTTTGGTTTTTTTCGGCGTGAGACGCCCGTCCCTTGCAACACTCGGCCTGTTCTGTCCTGTTATCAATATTTTCGGTCCTTATCTAGTTTTCTCACTCTCCTATGTCTCTCCTCCCTCCTTTCACGTGGCATGTGGCGCGTGTGCAGGTGCGGGGGAGGCCGGTGGGGGTGTTGGGCGGCGAGCAGGAGGACACGTTGTTCATCGGGAACATCAACAAGACGTGGTCCAAGGCCAAGGTCAGTCACGCTACAGGGTTACCAAAAGCACTTCAAGGCTGGGGAGAGCGCGGCTAGCGGCACTCTGCTCGGATCAGGACAGGGAGGCGATTTTAGGGTTCTTGGCCTTCGAGCCATCTGCATTTCACTTCATTCCATTTCACCTGCCCCACTGCCGTCTGATTCACCCTGTTCACTTTTTGTTTCAAATCGTCTTCCATCCCCGTCGTCTCCGCCGTTTGCTGCGAGCGCGCTGTGTGTGGCAGATAGAGGCGGTGCTGGCGGGGAGCGGCGTGGGGGCGTGGGAGGCGCTGACGTTCATGGAGGATCCGCAGCACGCGGGGCACAACCGCGGCTTCGCCTTCCTCGAGTTCGCCTCGCACCGCGCCGCGGCTGCCGCCAAGCAGCGCCTGCAGCAGGCGGACGTGAGCCTGGGCGTGGACCGCCCGCCCCGCGTGTCGTGGGCCGCGCCCCTCAACGAGCCCGACCAGCGCGTCATGGCGCAGGTGCGCGTGCAGTGCATTGCAGGCATGGCGCAGGTGCGTGCGAGCATGGCGCAGGTGCGTGCGAGCATGGCGCAGGTGCGTGCGAGCATGGCGCAGGTGCGTGCGAGCATGGCGCAGGTGCGTGCGAGCATGGCGCAGGTGCGTGCGAGCATGGCGCAGGTGCGTGCGAGCATGGCGCAGGTGCGTGCGAGCATGGCGCAGGTGCGTGGGGTGGCGCAGGCATGGTGCGGGTGCGCAAAGGGGCGCAGGCATGGGACAGGTGCGGGGGGACAATGGTAGGCACGGGGCATGGAATGTTGCTGAAGGTAGTAGTCGCTGTGTCCCTCATGTCACTGCGCCCCTGTTGCTTCGCAAGTGTCATCATCCCCCCGCATCCGTCATTCCCCTTCACCCACCTACATCTCTCCCCCCTCCCCCGGCGGGCAGGTGAAGAGCATCTTTGTGGACGGCATGCCGCCCTCGTGGGACGAGCCGCGGGCGGCGGGGTTCTTCGGGCGGTACGGGCAGATAGAGCGTGTGGTGCTGGCGCGCAACCTGCCGTCCGCCAAGCGGCAGGACTACGGCTTCATCAACTACACCACACGCGATGCCGCCCTTGCTGCCATTGCCGCCCTCAATGGCTCGCAAGTTGTCGATGGAAACTTCCAGGCAAGTGTTCTCATGCCCTTGTGCGCTGTGCATGCCCCCTGTTGCATTTTCATGCCGCGCATTTTCTTCTCTGCTTTCCCATGCCCCGCGCTCATCACCTTGTTCCGCTCACTGCCCCCACCCCACCCCCTTCTTCCCCTGTGCGCGTCTCACCCGCTACATGTCCGCTTGTCGCCTCTTCCCTTCCCCCCTTCGTCCCTTCCCCGCTTCCCGTGCAGATGAAGATGCGGGTGACTCTGGCCAAGCCCCAGGACCGCAAGCCGCGCCACCCGCCTCCTGGAGGCAGGGCGGGCGGGGGGGAGCAGCGCCGGGCGGACTTTGGGGACGGCAGCGTGACGGCGCTGCTGGAAGCGCTGCGGGAGCAGGCAGAGCGCGAGGAGCGCGGGGAGGGCGCGCAGGGGGCGCAAGCTGGGGAGGGGAGAGGCGCAGGAGCGGATGTAAGACAGGAGGGTGGTGGCGATGGGGGGAGCGGAGTGGGGACGGGCAGTGCACTGGTAGGGGGGTTGGGGGAAGGGGAGGGGGCGAAACAGGGAGGAGGAGGAGGAGGAGGGGTGGGGGAGCAGGAGGGAGGGTTGGCAGGGAGTGCAGCGGCAGCAGTGGAAGCAGCGTTGGCAAATGAATCCAAGGGCGCGGGTGACGGCGGGGAAGGGGATGTGGAGGGGGAAGCAGGGGAGGGAGCAGAGGGGGAAGCGGGGACGCCAGGGAAAGCGCGTGCGGGGGAGAGGGAGGGGAAGAACACGGCAGGGCTGAATCGGTTTGAGTGTGCGGTGTGTGTGTTTGGGTCGGACGACGAGAGCGAGTACCTGACCCACCAGCTATCGCGCGTGCACAGCATCGTGAGCATGTTCCGACAGGACCTGAAGCTGTCCAACAAGACGCCCCTCAGCATGCTCAATGAACTCGCCATGCGCAACAAGATTGAGGTGCGCTCGCCTTGCCATGTCATGCGCAACCGGAGTGAGCGGCCACCCTGCCGTGCCCCTGCCTGCAGTGGTTGCATTGCAACAATGCCTTCGCGTCCAGCTGCCGCTTCAGTCATCCTATCCGCATGAGCATTTCATTCCCGTCCCCATGCCACCTATTCCTGCCCGCCCCTGCCAGGTGACATACGAGCTCAAGGGCGAGCCCGCAGGCCCCTTTGACGCGTCCGCGTCCCTGGGTGGAGGCCCCAACGCCGTGCCGTGGGTGTGTGGGGAGGCGCGCGCGGGCATGAAGCTGCGCGCCAAGCAGATGGCGGCAGCAGCGGCGCTGGAGGCGCTGCTGCAGGCGGGCGTGGGGGAGAGTGAGCTCACCCGCCCGGGGCAGGCGCGGCTCAAGCAGATGGGCAGGGGGAAGGGCGGGAGAGGCTCGCCTGGAGGGGCGCAGCGGGGGGGGCGAGGGGCGTATGGGGGGCGCGGAGGGGGGGATAGGGCGCGAGGGGATAGGGATGGTGGGGGTTATGGGGGATGGGGGAGTGGGGATGTGGGAGGGGGAGTGGGTGGGTATGGTTCGTTGGGGGTGTATGGGGGAGGGTCGATTGGTGGGGGTTTGGGGGAGGCGGGGGCGGGGGAGAGCTATGCGGAGAGGTTGGGGCGCATTCAGGGCATGCACTATGTGATGCGCTCTGGCCTGCCTCCTGTCTCGCCCACCGTGCAGCCTCTTGCTCCTCCTGCCGCCCCACCGCTGGGTGCGAGCTTGGGGGCAGCAGCAGGGGGATATGGTGCTCCCAGCACGGCTTATGCCGGCTCTGGGGCTGCAGGGGCTGCTTATGGGGGGCAGTATGGTGGCGGCCAGTACAGTGCGGTGCAGTACGGTGGAGCGCAGTACGGAGGCAAGTATGGAGGGGCTTCATATGGTGGCTCACAGTACAGTGCGGTGCCGTACGGTGGAGCGCAGTATGGAGGGGCGCCATACGAGGGGCAGTATGGGCGAGCGGAGGGAGCAGCGAGTGGAGTGAAGCGGCCGTACCCCCCTGCTGACAAACCTGACGCCCTTGTGAGCTCCACCTCCCACCGATCCTCCCCTCTCCTCACCTCACCGTGCCTCCCTCTTCCCATCCTTGCCCTTCACCTCATCCCCTCGTTCCTGTAATCGTTGCCTTCACCCCTCCCTTCCCCCCGCGTTCCCCCCCCCCCTGTGTGTATGCAGCATGCCAGTCAGCGGCCTCGCACCGACCCCTACGCTCCCCCGGCCCCCCCAACGCGCTCTGCCTATCCCAACCCGCCGCCCGCACACCCCTACAGCGCTCCTCCGCCTGCCCACCCCTACTCCACACCCCCCTCTCATCCCTACACCAACCCACCCCCTGCACACCCGCCCCCCTCCAACCCTCCTCCCTCCTACCCCTCTGCCCACACCTACCCCGCCCCACCCTCTTACCCGCCGTCCTACTCCTACCCTCCTGCCCCCACTGCTCCATATGGTGCTGGGGGTGCATCATCATCAGCAGCACCAGCGCCAGCACCAGCGCCGCCTCCGTACTACCAGCAGCAGCACCCGCAGGCACAGCAGGGGGCCGGGGCGGGCAGCAGCGGCAGTGCAGGTGGTGCAGAGCGGTGAGTGCTGTGGGCGGCGCTTGTGAATGCGAGGAATGCACACGCGTTCTCGCCTTGTCTGCTGCTGGTTTCATTCCAAGTCCTCCTTGTCCTATTGTTGTCCAAGTCCCTCCACTGCGTCTCCCACCACATGCCACTACTTTCTTCCCTCCCCTTCCTTTCTTGGCCCTTGTCTCTCCTTCCCTTCCCTCCCCTTGTCGTCGTTCTGCGTGTGATGTGATCATGCCCATACCAGCTCGTACGCGCACTCTCACCACTACTCCACCCAGCCGCCGCCGCCGTCACAGCAGCAGCAGCCCTATCAGCAGCCATATTCGCACCAGCAGGCGCCACCGCCACAGCAGCCATACCAGCCCCCATACCAGCCGCCATACCAGCCGCCACAGCAGCAGCAGCAGCAGCAGCAGCAGCGGCAGCAGGCAGCGGATCAGAAGCGTCCAGAGGCGCATGAGCAGCAGCAGTCTGCAGCAGGTGGGGGGACAGAGAGAGGCCGCGGTGGAGAGGGAGGGGAAGGGAAGCGAGAGGAGGCAGGACAGGGGGGCTATGCAGGAGGACCGCCCCCTCCCAGCACCACCAGTGGCAGCGGCTACGGGGGTGCGTATGGGGGCGCGTATGCAGGGCTGTATGGTAACACCCATGCTGCCACCACTTCCGCCGCTCCTGCTGCTCCTGCCGCCCATTCTTCAGCAGCGCCGCCCGCTCAGTCTCAGCCGCCGACGTCTGCCGGCCAGTCCCCTGCGCCTGCAGGTGGTGCGGGCGGTGGCGGGGGGGCAGCAGGTGCAGGGGGTGCGACGGGGACGAGTGCGTACGGGCAGTATGCCTCGGTGCCCACCACCTACTACTGACCACCGCTCTGCCACGCCGCTCACCTGCTCGCATGCCCCAGGTAACATGTCCTGCTTCTTGTGCTTGCACTTGCTTTCCGTGCTCGTCCCTGTTGATTCACTGTGGCCCCGTGTAGTCCCGGCCGTCTCAACCTCTCTGGTGGGCTGCTGTGCCGTGCATTGGTACTGGTCGGCCTGCCTCCTCGGTGCTGTGTCGCATCCCTCTGGACGCACGCATGCTTTGCCGTGTCCCTGCATGTGTGTGTGAGTGGTCACACGGGGCAGCACCATCCTCTGCATGCTTCCCAGCAATCACAAGGCTGTTTGTCACATGTGTGCTCGTGCCTCTGTGTCTCTACTTCTCTTGCTACCCCTTCGCATCTGTTCCCTTGTTCCTCTCTCTGCCATTGCCCCTGTCTCACAATCCTTGCGAGTTGATTCAAAAGCCACCTCGTGTGCCAATGTTAATGTCTGTCCCCCGCAAACCTACCTGCAGCAGACACGTGTGTGTCTTCTACCAGCCAAGAGTCGGTTCGGGCTTCACCAGCCCGAACCTTCATTTGAATGCAAAACTGAAACCTCACTGATCGCCAACGCTGAAAGCGAATGTTGAAGGTGTATTGTGAAGCGGCCTGCTTGCTTCACAAGCAGTGCGCTGGTGCTCATGGCAGCACGCTCCAAAGCATCGCTGCTCGCACGGACTGGTGGCTCCTGTCTGAAGCGCAGCACAGCAGCACAGCAGCTGCGGTCTGTGACACACACGCAGACCACAGCAGCTGCTTGCTCTGGATGCTTTGTGTGCTGCCTGATCTATCCTGGAAAACATCACTTTTTTCCAAGCTTAGTTGAAGCTCGTAACCTTAGACTTCCGTTCTCTCCAGGTTTCCTGGGAAGAACCATATCTCGCGCATCATAGCTACTTTTTTTGTTTCTAGGTTTTGCTTTCTTAGGTGTGATGCTGTGTGCCCCCCTTGCCTTTCACAATCTGCCAATGCGGTGCATTCTGTTTGCACCACATGGTTGTGACATGCCATTGAGACGGTAGACCAACTACAGTGATGATGTCAGTGATTGCATCCAAAAGTTAGGGAGCAAATATGTGGTGACATCTTTCCAGCTGAAAAAATTGGCATAGGGCAGTGTTGTTATTTGAGCCCATTGTCTACGAATCAGTCAGGGAGTCTGTTTGCCTCTTCTGTTTTGGATGTACTCAATGACAAATTAAGACGGATGCATTTCCATCACATTCCCAGTCATCTCGAAAGGTACATGTGGTAGTGCACGTAGCCCAAGTGGTGCATCTAGGAGGTTTTGCAGGGCTATTCATCCCACCCACAAACCATACCGCACAGCACAACCCTTCAAAAGTTAAGGATGTGCAAAGCAAAGCACTGAGAATGACCCGTATGCCTCCTCAATGCTTGTGTATCTTGCTTGAATGTAGAAAGTTCATCCATTTCTTCATATGAGAAACGTTTCCAGTGCTATTCCACGCAAGAGTTCCAGTCCAACCAGCAGGCTATCTCCAGGCTCTCAAGGGTTATGAAAGGATGCTGTTTGTCAGCTTCATGCTCTTAAAGGTATGATGAGATTAGGTCAAAGGGGGGGGTACAAGGAGAATGTCGAGGGAAATTTTGTACCCCCTAGTGCTACCCCACTAAAGCCTAGATCAATCTAGCACAGATATAACATTTGACACACCCCCATAGGCAAAGTGGGGGAGAACAAGGGGTCACAAGACCAGTCAAGAGAAGCAAAGCAAGCTCAGGGTGGATCACAACGTCACCACACACTCTGAGAAAAAAGCAGAGGGCCACAAGGCCAGTTCACATGCAGAGGTATATAAGCAACAAAAACAGCACAGTGATCACTACCTAGCAGATGTAAGCATGCAGGTACATATATATATGGATCACAGTACAAGCAAAGCCAACAGCAAGTGTGGAAACGTAGGCACAAGACCTAACAAGGTACAAAAGCGCTGATGATCACCAGACGGAAGTGCCTTGGTGAATATATCAGCAGTGTTGGCCCGAGTGGCCACGTGTGCAAGTCGAAGCTGACCACGCTGCTGCAACTCTCGAGCCAGGAAGTAACGCAGAGCGATGTGCTTCGTTCTGTGCTCCAGTCTGTGCTCCTCACACAAGGCAATGGCAGCCTTGTTGTCGACGTACAGAACTGGAGGAGAACGAGGCCGCTCTCCCAAGTCGGTCAGCAGGTAGGTGAGCCAGCGCAACTCCTGAGCAGCCATGGCTGTGGCGTAGATCTCAGCCTCACAACTGGAGCTGAGAACAGAAGACGAGCGAGTAGAACGCCAGGAAACAGAACCAGAGCCAAGGCTGAAAGTGTAACCCTGTGACGACCGCTGCGTAGCTTGGTCGTCAACCCAAGAAGCGTCTGAGTGCCCAGTGAGGACCACGTCTCTCCGTCCTCCAAGCACGAGCCCCATGCCCGATGTACTGCACAAGTAGCGCAGTACCCTCTTCGCAGCATCCCAGTGCACCTTTCGGTGCCGACCAGGAGCCACGTAACGGGCCAGAAGGCCAAGGGGGTACGCAAGGTCAGGACGAGTGCAAGTCATCAGGTACATGAGGCAGCCCACTAGCTCTGGGTAAGGACCACTCGGCTCTACGGACTCGTCCGAAGGTGGAGCTGATGTCAGAACTAGCTGTAGAAAGTAAGAATGAAGAAAGGAGAGTTTGCACTAGCAGCAGTTGGCATACATATAGGAAACCCTAATTGGGTTGTACTCACTATACAATACCCCACTACAGGCTAGAGCATAATATTTTGACACACCCCCATAGCCAAAGTGGGGTGTAATCAGCAGAGAAAGCAAAGCAGTACAAGCTCAGGGTGGATCACAATGTCACCACACATTCTGAGCACAAGTTTAAGAAGCAATAGTTTAAAGTGCACAATTATGAGCAAAGCTAGAGGCAGTTACAGAGGGCAAGTGAGGAGGAGGAGGGCTGGCGAGAGGAGAGAAGAGTGGAGGCGACGACTGAAGCTGCAGACACACGGGCAACAGACGGCTCTGGTGCAACTCTAGTGGCTACCGGGAGCAAGGGCCCCGGAATACAGGAGTAACAGGCTCTGCGTCTGATCAGCAGCGACAGGAGCAACGGACCCACGGGCGACAGGTGCAACCGGCTCTCTGAGCTACCGGTGGCTATCAGAACCCCGGAATACAGGCGCTGCAGACGACACGACGGCTGCCTCCACCCAACCTCCTCCAACTGTCCCACACCCCCCAACACACACCCCCTGCTGAAACCCTAGCTCCACTCCCATGGCACCCCCCTTAAACCCTAAACCCTCGGCTCCCACACACCCACCCCCCTGAGCAGCAGCTGCAGCAGTGGGAGACGGAGGAGGAGGAGGAGCAGGGGACGGCTGACAGAGACGGCACCCACATACGCTTCACCCCCAAACCCTAATTCAGGAGTACGGGCAGCAGCAGGGGTGGGGCGCCGTCAGAAGCGCGAGGGACGGCGTGCAGCTCAGTGGGAGAGGAGACCGGGCGCCCGCGGGCCAGGCGCAGCCCGTACGAACCGCGCGCAGGCGGCCCGAGGCGCGCGCGGGCCAGGCGCAGCCCGTACGGGCCGCGCGCGGGCCTGGCGCAGCCCGTACGAGCAGCGCGCGGGTTGTACGGGCCGCGCGCGGGCCTGGCGCAGCCCGTACGGGCCGCGCGCGTGCAGGACAGGCCGCG